TCCGGGACAGACTCGAGTCGGTCCTAAAAAGTCCTTGTGAAGTCGACTCAAGGACCGGGTCCCACAAGCTTTTTGACTGCCCTAACGGCAGGGCGTAAAATACCAAGTTTGGCCTGCACTTTACTATGTTTATAATATAAAAGGTTCGCAATTTTTTGTGAGATTTTTAATTTTTTTTAATTTCGGCCAAGCTCGTCAGATTTATAATTCTATTTTCTAAAAAAAAATCATAACAGTGAAGAAATTAGTTCTAGTGGATAATATTTAAAGAGTTTAGTGCTAGCTCAAGTATAATTAATTGGAATATTCAAATATGCATAGTTTTGATGAATATAGATTAATGAATTTAAAAAGTTGTTTACTTTTTATAACCCTAAATACATTTAAAATTTAAAGCTCTTATTCATTAGCCTATAAAGAAAAAGAGAAAAGAATTAGTAAAACGATCCAATAGATACAATTTTAACATGGTGTATAATAATATTAAATCAGATGAAAAAAAATTAATTAGCAAGTTCGTTTTCATTCATATAGAATCAGTTGGCCCCTGAACTTGTTTGTCATCATATTTCATATACATTCGCAAAGTAAATAAATTATTTATTTTTACCTGCCTTACAAACTCGCCAAAATTAATGGTAACATCCATCCATTTATTAAAAGCTAAAATTAAATATCTTGAATAACTGATTGTTAGAGTTTGTTGTAAATTCTACATCGAGCCAACTTTTCTTGGTTATCATGAAGCTAAGTTTACTTCTACAAGAACAAACTAATGCAATAAAATGCACGGAAGTTTAAAGTCATGTTTGGTCACGTTTAGTGTAATAGTAGATCAAGTAACACTAATTTTTTTTACTACATATAAACGATATTGATATGTAATACAACTAAATGAATACATATGTGAAGATGCATCCAACGAGATCACAAAACAAAAAACAAAATGACTCCCCAAAAAACGATTTTTACAAAAATTATGCTTATTTAATGTTTTTCTGTTTTTGGATCTTATTACTTCATCTTGGAGGACTATATCTTTTCACGAGAGGATTTCTGCTTACTAGATATGTTCTAGATAATCATAGTGAATGTTCAAAATCACCATTATGGAATGATTATATATTCAATGATGATAGTGATAATAACGTATATAATATAAAGTATAATTATCCATGGCAAAATACTGTAGCAGCACAATTTAGACAAAAAGATCAAAAACAATCGAATTTAGTTTCTAATGGTTGTTGGTACCCAAAAACTTTTAAAAAGGCTGTGATCATAATTATTGATGCGCTTAGATTTGATTTTGCAATTCCTTATCTAAATAAACAATTTCAAAATCCTGTAAACCATTATTATTTAAATAAACTTCCCATATTTAATCAACTTCTTACAACTCAACCATCAAATTCTTTATTATTTCAATATGTTGCCGATCCACCTACAACCACTTTACAACGTCTAAAAGCTCTTACAACTGGAACCTTACCAACTTTTATTGATGCTGGTAGTAATTTTGCTGGTTATGCTATCGATGAAGACAATTTAATTTATCAATTTAGAAATCTAGGTATGAAAATTGCCTTTATGGGTGACGATACTTGGATTTCTCTATTTCCTGATCAATTCGATCAAAACATGACTCATCCTTTTCCCTCTTTCAATGTTTGGGATCTACATACTGTTGATAATGGAATTTTAAATTTATTGGGTCCAACATTGAAACGGGGAAGTGTTCATGATTCTTCTCAATGGGATGTATTAATTGCTCATTTCTTGGGCGTTGATCATTGTGGACATCGTTATGGACCTGATCATCCGGCTATGGCTGAAAAATTAGGTCAAATGGATGACATGATACGAAATGTTATTAGGGATATTGATAATAATACTGTTGTGCTTGTTTTGGGTGATCACGGTATGGATTCTAAAGGTGATCATGGTGGTGATAGTGATGATGAGGTTGAATCTACACTTTTCATGTATAGTAAGAAACGTTTAACACATGACGCGACAAATGTTCTTTCCAGGATTTATCAAAAATTAGATGCGATCGAATCTCATGGTTCAAAGTCGTTTACCAAAAGGTTTGGAACTTGGAGATCTATTCCTCAAATTGATCTTGTTCCAACTTTGGCTCTCCTTCTGGGAACTCCAATACCATTCAACAATTTGGGTATGATAATCCCTGAAGTGTTTCTTTTTAATTCTGAAGATTCCGATCTAAATATAAACGATCAATTAATGAATCTCTTGGATGTTACGCGTCTTAATGCCGAACAGGTATATCGATATACCATAGAGTATTCGCTTCAACAACCATCTACTGAATTATCAAATGATGCTATTCATGTTCTTCGAAATATGTTTGAAAATGCTGAAGCAAAATATAATTTATTGAAGAATTCTCCTGATTCATCACTAAATGATGATTTGGAAGATGCAATCGTACTTTACATGAATTTTCTAAAAAATACTTTGTTTATATGTCGACGATTGTGGGCTCAATTCGATTTATATCTGATAATAACAGGAATTAGTATCTTAACTTTAAGTTGTGTATGTATTGGTTTACATATTACACGAAACACAAGGAGTTCTATCGTTATCTACAATCAAACAGCCGCTACGTACGCGTTTTTTGGTGGAAGCTTGGGCATTGTATTCACTTTAGGATTCATCAGACTTGTAGGACCGTTAATAATAGATTCTAGTCCCCCAACTTTTAATCTTACAATATTTGGTGCCTCATTTGGGTCAATGATAGGTTTCATAATTCATTACATAAGATCTAACTCGTTTCCCACTTTACCAAAAAAATTTCCTTTCATGTCTTTTGATACATTCATGTCCATATTGTTTTTAATCATTCATTCATTTTTATTTGCATCAAATAGTTTTACGGTATTTGAAGATCGTATCACAACTTTCTTATTACAAACATTTGGAATTTTTACGTTTTTTAAAACATTTAAAATCAAAACCGTGAAACGTCGACTAAAATTACAGTTTTTTACATTCATGTATTTGTTAGCTACACGAATTGCTTCATATTCCACTATATGCAGAGAAGAACAAATGCCTTATTGTACTTCAACGTTTTATATTTCTCAAACATCAACCGTATCATCTCCATTTACTTTGACAATATTGATAGCAATGACAGTATTTATGCCGTTCATTATTTGTCGTCTATTAAAATTATCTGGAAGTTATAATGGTGTAGCACCTCTGTGGATTGAATTTGGGCTAAGAGGTGGATTAATATTATCTGCCGCTTATTGGATAATGGATAACTTGGATAGTAATTCTACTTCTTCTGTAGTTACTGGTAGAGATGAAACGAAACTTAACACAACGAATATACTGTTCAACCAAGGTTGGAAATGGTTCAAAAATTTTATAGTTAGACTCGCTTTTGGACTATCTACAATAGTTGGAACCGTAGCGTGGTCAACAAATCCATTATGCTTAGATTTGAAAATGATCGATATTGAAACGGACGATATGTTAAAAGAAAACTCCAACAAATTAGATAAAAATACGAATGTGAAATTAAAAAATCCAGATCGTCAAGCGTCATCGTCATCAAAACAATCAGTGAACTCCCAAAATGATAAAAAAGCAATTGAAATATTGGGGTACAGAAATGCGTTTGGCGCTTCGTATTTTGTATTCTTGACAATAATCTATCTTCTTTTGTTTATAACACAAAAACCAATGGGTGGAATAATGTTATCAATTGCTTTATGTCAATTAATGTGCTTATTGGAAATTATAGACATTAAACGAGATGCTTATGAATTGAGCATTGAGAATAAATTTTCATCAAAGGAGAATGAAAAAGACGTGTCGAATGTATCTTCCCCATATAGCTCATCTAACAGACCTACAAAATTCCTTGATGTAGCAATTCTTTCACTGTTATCATCACTATACTTCTTTTCAACAGGCCATCAAGCAACCTTATCTTCAATTCAATGGTCCGTCGGATTCATTGGCATAGATGAATTAAGTTATATTATTTCTCCATTATTAGTCACATTAAACACCCTTTCTTCT